TTCGTCCTCTCAATTTCGTAAACAACACTCCTGCCACGAGAAGGCAGTGTGTACGACTTCCTTAGCAGTTGTTGTATGCACGTGGTCATGTGAGAGCATTTGGAGAGGAAGAGCGGACTCTCCTCACTCTCGGACGTACCAGGGCATTTGGAGGTAATACATGTACATATGGAGCGTTACACTGGGTGCATTTTAAACATTTTAATGTGGGATTAATTAATGGGACGTTTTTAAAATTATCAGAATGCGGATTTGTGGAGAATGTAGTTATTTTTAATAGTCGAATTCATTAATGGATATAAGCCAGCCGACCATTGAAAACCTGGAAACACCGGACAGTTGTTTCATCCAATGTATGAGACTCCTCAGCATTGTAAATTCGCGATTCTGCACTTAATACTCGAATCTAGGGCCTTCAGTCTCGAGCACGAACGCTTAAAATAAAGACCACTGAGCAGGCATCCAACGGTGTTATTGTCTAACTGCAATCGATCCATGATCTTCAGCAACCCTTCTTCCATTATCTAAGGTGAATAACTGTCTCCACCCGACACAGATTAGACTGCATTAGTCATCACTTTTCATTAGAACTTTAAAAAATCTAGCATTCGGTATCATGTATATGGACTGTTGAGGAGTCGCATACTAGGACGAAACGACGGTCCAGTACTTTCAAGTTTTCAATGGTAGTCTAGCTTAGATCCAATCATGAAGTCAACTATTAAAGTTTCTAAAATTATTATTTGAAACTGTATTATTAATCATTCTAGATGGTATTCGTACAAGTTACAATGATTTACAATTGAATAAAATCTAATATTTCTAGATGTTTATTGAACTTGATTACAAATTTAGGTTCATAATGTTTTTTTTTAAAAACAATATCCTTTAATTACTTAGATACTTAACTCTTGTATGACTACAGTGTTTGTTCTTTTCTTAACTATACCATTTAAAGTCACATTTATAACATAACTCGGCGGCCTGCTTGAGCATCTGGGCTACCTGTTCCTGCCATCTAAATATTTCAACAAGTTATCTATTTTTGTTTGTTTTAATATATCATTATGTCTATTAATCGCACAACCCAGTCTGCTGCGTTTCTGAAAAATGTACAACCTTTCGTTATCAAAGTTACAAAAAGCTCAAAAAGAGAAAATATGGTTGCTGGCAATATACAACGAAAAGAATGTACATCACTCCCATGTTCATTTACTGGATTGATAACATCTAGCTGGCGATCACTCAGTATTTATCGCGAGGACCGACCAAGAAGAAAGAAACGGAAACTTGTTGAAATACTTTGTGCTGAGAATTCGATAATGTACCAATAATATAATATTGAATAAAGCTAATAATAATAATAATAATAATAATAATAATAATAATAATAATAATAATAATAATAATAAAACAAAGAACCCACAAAAGTAATTACACGTTGGTTTACTTGTAAAGAAAAAAAAATGAAGTAAAGAAATAATGACTATTAAAAATTAATTTAATCATAATTAGCTATTTGTCAAGTTCTGTTTAGTTTCTTCTTTCAAAAAGAGGAAACATGGAGATTTTTTAAAAAAGTTGTAAATATTATATTTTATGATTTATGTTAGTTAACAAGTGAACCTTAATATCTTTCCCTTTTTTTTCAAAAAAAAGAGAAGTCATGGGATAATTAATTAACCGAAAGTATGTTTTAACATTAATTTTTCTTATGTAAAAAGAGAGATAAAACATTTATCATAGTTTGTTAGAATGTTTCATTGTTTGTTTGTTTTTTCATTAATATATAGATTTACAAGTAAATTAACTACATGGTGTCAATGTTTTGTAATATAAATATCATTGAATTACATTGATTTGTATACATACATATATATCATTAGTTGAGATCATGAGATCACCGTGGAAAATCTGGAAGAACTAGACGGCCGTTTCGTCCCAGTATAAGACTCCTCGGCGGTGCGCATCCACGATCCCACACCCCGCGAGATCCGAACACAGAACCTATCAGTCTCGTGCCAGGTGCTTAACCAACTAGACCACTGAGCCGGCATTCAATGGTGATAATATCTAACTTCAGCTAATATACGAAATTGAACGACACATCCACCATTATCATCAGTGATTTACTATCTCACAGCAGACCTTGTGTGAACTCCATTTGCACGGTTACTCATTAGAACTCCAGGATATACATCTTGAAGCCAGTCACTAGTGAGCATATGTTAATTAGTGTCAGATAGGTCCTGGGTTCGAACCCCGAGAGGCTGGTTCCTGGATGCGCACTGTTGAGGAGTCCCACAATAGGACGAAACGGCCGTCCAGTGCTTCCAGGTTTTCCATGATGGTCTAGCATCAATTAACTCATGATCTCAACTTTTGAAATTACTACGATCTCCACAAAACCCATTCTGAAATGAAATTCTGCTATAAATGATCAGAATAAATATGATAAACATGTAGTGAAAGAGAGAGAGAGAAAATAATGGAATAAAACTTAGAAATTACGTAATATGTAGAATAATATGAATTAGGTCAGATATAGTAGATAAGGGTGGATGCTGAATAAATTTCTCAAAAATTTTATCAAACGTAATAATAATACTAACAATAACAATGATAAAGATGATAATAACAATGGTAAAGATAATAATAATAAGATAATTTTGGTAAATAAAATTAACAGTAATCAATTTACGTCACCGCATTATAAAAGTGATTATTAACTAGTTGATCCCGAAGTTGGTCAGGGTAAAAGGAGCGGCTGAACATATTGTTTTTGGATGCAAAGCTCTGGGTTTTTTTATCCGAATAGCGATTGCTTCAGTCGTCTGTAAGATTCTCAGTCTGACGGAATTAGGTAGATTGCTGTTAACACGATATATTATTACGAAAGATTGCTCCATGTTGGCTGTATGTCTTGTCTGCAATAAATGGGTTAAAATCGAGCTGCTAACAGTTTTGACTACACCTTTACTTAACCACACTGGGAAGTGCTCATGAGCCCAAATATATAAATTCCTAGAACATCTGCCAATATAACTTACACCACAGGAGCAGTTGAATTGATAATTACAGAAGGAGATGGCTAGTCTAGGAAATTTATCTTTTAGCCTCGGAGTGATGATTGGGCGTATGTAAAACATCAGTTGTAGATAACCTGCATTTAAAGTTCTTTGGATTGATCTACTTGACTGCAAACTTAGCATCTCACTAGTTGCATTGCCTCTGAATTTTAAGAGTATATACAGAGGCTTTTTATTCACGGTTAGACATTTTCTATGCTCTCTTTTATTGGATATGTTTTTATTTATAAATTTCTCAGTATATCCATTTTCTTTCAGGGTCGTGTACAGTGCCTTTATTGGATTTATTTTATACGTTCCTATATACGACTATTACTAGCAATTTATATGATATTACCTATATTGAATCTTGTTTCGAAGTTATAGACTTTAGAGAATATGAAAGATAAACTCTTTGGAAACATTAAGAAAATAATTGTTAATTTGATATTAAATTCTCTTATCAGTTAACTTACTTTCTCCTGTTTCTCCTTATGGAGGAGCATAGGCCGCCCACCAGCACTCTCCATTCAACCCTGTCATGGACAGTCCTTTACAATTCCTTCCACTTGTTATTCATTCTTTTCATATCTGCTTCTATCATCCGACGTAATGTGTTTTTGGCCTTCCTCTTTTCCGCTTCCCTTCAGGATTATAAGTTACGGATTGCCTCGTGATGCAGTTTGAGGATTTCCGTAATGTATGTCATATCCACTTACAACATCATTTCCTAACTTCCTCCTCAGTTGGAAGCTGGTTTGTTCTCTTCCACAGTAGCCTATTGCTGATGGTATCCGGCCAATGGATATTGAGTATCTTGCATGAACCACTATTTATAAATACTTGTGCCCTCTGTTATCTATTAAGCTTTATCAAAAAGTGAAAGTTCATTTTGTATATAAGAAACTAATATCGTGTTATATAAAAGTTGGTGTCAGTTTAAAAGATCAAAGAGGATTGGAATAATAAATCAACTCAATGTATTGTTACTGAAAAATGATTTTTTTTAATGACTTGAGTAAATGCCATTATTATTCAGTCAGTCACGCGACTTTTGATGATACGTATATTCTGAAAATAGATTTAGACACAGACTGACTTTAGATGCAAAGCCATTTAGTACTAAGGAGCGTAAACAGCTGATGTGTTGCGAGTCAACATTTTTAAGCAGTGTGCATTTACTACACTAAATAGTTTTGGATGTAAAACTTTCAGATCTGATGGTTAGCATAATACGGTTTGACCACTAATCAGTATTATAAACTTCCGTATTATTTGGAAAATTTGACTACCAACAATAAACCTGAATGTCTCTGGTTTCTTATCAAGTCTATACTTATAGAACGTCCTAAATTGGAACTAGACATATGAAATGTGCTCCCCGATTTTTACTGATACTTCAGACAAATGCTAATCAATGACACAAACTTTGTTTAAATACTCAGAAATTCACTATCAACAAACATGAATAAACAGAAAATGGATAGTGACTAGCAGTGGAATCCAGGATGCACGTTTCGTCCTATTTGAGACTCATCAGCTGGATGTGCCTACATCTCAGAGTTGATGTTCACTCTGGGACTCAAACCCAGTACCATTCGCTTCAAACGTCATCGCGTTGGCCACTATCCATCTCCGCTTATAATGCATGTAAATTAAGGCAATATCGAGGCAATACACACAGTATGCACATATGCCAATAAAAGACTGATCAATTTCAGTCCTAAACATCAATGGGAAGATTCAAGTAAAACAATATCAAGTGAATTAAACATGAATAAGCTTTGTAAATGAAGTTTTCATACTTTTCTCTTTTGCTTCAATTATGAAGGTTCCACAAAAACAGTAAACAATTCTATATTTCATTATTTATGCTTAAAAATAAGCTTTTATGTTCCTCTTTTTTTTTAAAACTTTTTCACTATGATATAGGCCTGGAACTTATATTGCAAAATTATATGCTATTGATGTAGATTCAGCAGAAAATGGTCGTATAACATATGGAATTAAACCGAATGAGCATACAGATATACAATCCTTATTTGAATTAGATCCTATAACTGGTGATATTATATTAAAACGTTCATTAGATTATAATATAGATACATTAAGACTCAAAGAAAATGTAAACTTTAAAGATTTTAATTTACTTAATATACATAGTAGATCATCATCTATTCATGAAATGGAAATGAAACGTCGAAATCAATCTATTCATGGAATAAATAAAACAACATTTAAACAAAATGAATTAAAGAATAAATTATATGAAAGTCAAATGGCATATAGTTTAATTGTTACAGTAAGTATCATTATTCTTAAGATTGTGAATAGTTTCTTCTTTTTTTTGAACATTTAGATTTTTGAATATGAACAAATATTTATAATGAATTAAGTAGTATCGTAGTAATTTAGTAAACATGTGAAAATCATATGTCAACTATATCATTTGCATATGTCTTTTATCAATTTTCGTTTATATGCTTCAGTATTCTTTCAGTTTTGTTGTTAATAAAATTTAGTTTTAGTTTCCCTATTCTGTTCTTTTCAATTGAATATTTTCAATCGGTAAGACTAGAATTTATGGACGAGCCAATCAGAAGCGTCTTGGGGATTCCAAGGCCATGGCGCCAATTTCAGTACTTGATGCTTATGTACGACTGATTCACAATGAATTTTAGAGAAGACGTGATAATAGAACGACTAAAATAAATGGGACTATTAAAAATTTACTTTGTTTGTGATTAAGGTAACCAAATGATTTGTGGGCCTTGTACGGACTACCGTGATGATGTGGTTTTTCGATGTAATATTATGTGTTGGAGGAAGGAATCTGCTACAATATGGATTTTCGCTCGATCCAGATTAAGACTAAGGCAAATTATGTCTTGAGCTGGATAATAAGAGCACCAGTAATACTGGCTGCTACCAGGTAATACAATATATACGGATGATTGGAGAGCGTACAGATGGCTACATAGACCTGGTTATGTGCATCGTGTCTTTATTAGCAAACAGCATTTTTGGACACAAAAACCGGACTACACCAAACGAAGTTGAAGCTACATGGTCGAGGCTGATAGTTTTTGCGATTTTATCATGTCTCCAGAGGCCGACAATTATGTAGTCATATAGATGATTTCCTCTACTGTATTGATTACGCTTTTAAAACCTCTGAAATTCTTTCTAACCTTGATAAGTTTTTGAACCATGTGAAAGTAATGTATCCACTTTAATTCTTTGGTATTTTATAATATGTTTTTACTGTATACTAACTTTTCTAGTTGGCTAATATTTCTCAAGGTTACTTGAGATTCGTTCAAAGGTCGCCCATAAATTATAGTCTTGTCTCTCAATCTTCTGCTATCATACATTTCAATTTCATTTCGTGTACCATACTACTTATATCTGTCAACATAAGTAACATACACCTTGTATGAATAACTAACTGTTCCAAGAAATTGTATTTCTACCTATAAAAGTTTATAATTGCAATAAAAATTAAAATTTAAGTTACTCAATAATTCTGACCAATTACCTCTTGATAACGAACATGTTTCTATTGATATTTGAATTGTTAGATGATGGAGAAGATTTGTAGCTCAGGTGGATGATTTTGATGGAATATTGTTCTTTGAGCTGTATGGTTCATTCGTGGAGCTTTCATCGTTCTTCTGAACGACATCATCAGCACAAACCTCAGATAAAAGTGAAGTGTTCGAGTTTGTGCATATGCACAAATATTGGAACAAAAATCAAACCAATGGGAAACACAACCAAAACAAAGAAGTAAACAATGACAAATTTAAGGTCAATAACAACCAATCAAGATCGAGGTGTACAGAACAAGTTGTGAAACGTATGTGGAGGAATTCGAACACTTCACTTCTATCTGAAGTTTGTGCTGATGATGTCATTCAGAAGAAAGATGAAAGCTCCACGACCAAACCATACAGCTCAAAGAACAAAACTCCATCAAAATATTTGAATTGTATTAAGCAACTGATATATCAGTATCAGTTTTATTCTTAAGATATTTATTTAAAATTTTCTTCAATTACTATACATCCAGTTTTTAGTTTCGTAATATCATTTACTAACATTCACTTCCCTATTTCAAATATCACTGGACAAAATCAAATACATGATAAAACTCAAACAATGATTAATATACTCAAAGTTACACTTAGTTTATGGATGACGTTTTTAATATTAAGATAATAATATTAGTTATAAACATGTACAATGAGTAACTGATTTATCACAGTGAAACAATCACCAAATTTTCATATCTATGGAGATTCTTTAATTATTATCTATAATTATCATTATCTTATTAGTAGTCAGATTAGTAAATTGGATTCATATTTAAGTTCTAATTTAAATTGATTAAACAGAAGAAATCTTCAAATAGTTGTGTTACGTCCTTGATTTGTCTACCAACTTTTGTGCAGAGGATAACTTGTCTAATCCAGATTAAGACCTTCACGCACTGCTGAGGAGTCCCATACTAGGACGAAACGGCCGTCCAGTGCTTCCAGGTTTTCCATGGTGGTCTAGCTTCAATCGACTCATGATTTCAACCTGTGAAATTACAAAATATTACATTTAAATTACAATAGCTTTGGAACAAAAAGGGGTATGGCAATGAATAATACATCAAACGAAAGCTTATGATCTTTAGAATAGACTAGGGACAAAAAGTAATTGCTCATGTTTTACAAGCTTTGAATTAAATGAAATAACGTCCCTAAAATAGCTTCCGTAGTTTGTCAAGGCTTCTTGTTTCTCTATTCACATCAAGTTGGGACAAAAGTTAAGTGTATAATGTACAGTAGTCTGTACGATGAAAGCTCCACGACCAAACCATCCAGCTCAGAGAACAAAACACCACCAAAATCATCCACCTGAGATACAAATCTTCTCCACCACAGTAGTCTGTAAATTTAAGAAATATAAAGTATTAAAAAGCATTCAGTATGATAATTGAAATTGAAAGCAAGTTGTTTTTTTGGAATGTTTTACCTTCATATTTCCTAGTTCATGTGTTTATCGATAAATAGAAGTAAAATATTCAAGGTCAGTTATTCCATATCACAACATTATTCTGATTACGTTGAAAATCTATTCGTATACAGTAAAAGGTAATAGAGATTCTGACTAACAATAAGACATTCATATTATATTTAATACTTCACTGTCTGAAAAGATCCTGGTCAATGATTTTATCAATTATCATTTGTTTCAATATCCGTCATCTTATCAAGATTTTTTGTTTGGAAATTGTATATTAAGACCATCGCAGAACGACATTACAGAGTTACTTGGCAAAATAGAAAAACCATATGGTAAATTGTTAAATTGCAAAATCTCATTCCATCATATCAAACCGGACTGTTGGCGTTGCACACGTCAATCCATTGTATCACATTTCATTGTTCATGCGATTTCTTACAAACTCCATTGTGTTCTTGCTCTTCCTTTCTTGATCTTTTCCATCTTCTGCTGCCAAACATTACGTTCTTTTAACTCGCGTTATATACTACTTATATCAATATAAGTAGCACACACCACAATTTTACCCCATGCATCCCATGGCATACACGTAGGTATATTCACACATTTGGGAGCGTAGATGTTCACCGCTCTGAAAGAAAACGTATTTGCTACACCAGACTGATTCTTACACACTATAAGCACATTATTCGCGCCATGGTTACCGCCCCAGTATTTTCTGGCACACACATAAGCATAAGCATTCTCTCAGGAGAGGTTGTCGATCGCCTCGCCCCAGTACTTGCTACCACTTCCTTTTATTATGTATTTGACCTGATTTCATTAGACGTAGAGCAGATATTTTTGAAGCTCAATCTTCCCTTTGTACGAAACTGGATGCGTAACCTTTGTATATACCATATATACTTGAACCACATAAATCCGAGAACTGCAATTCTCATACATAAGCATACACATCGGGTAGCCCGGATGGTAAAGTGAGCCCCGAGTATAGAACTCAGGATTGATCAGATCGGTTCGATCTCTGCGACCGCCTAAGTTGGCTAGCAGGGTTGTCCCCACTATTCAGCAGCGCCAACAGGAGGCCTTAGGTGGGATTTTGCTCCCATTCTCGGTATAATTCACTATTACTTTACTAATTTTGATCATTTATTAGTTGATTGATCTGTATCATCATCATTATTGACAAATGGAGTCAAAGTGGAAGTAAACTGAAATACATTTTACGTATAAAATCGTCTCTTATGTTGAAATGTAGTAGAATATGTCCGTCATTAATCAATCACGACTTACTTTCATTGACATATTAAAAACTGCAACTTAATTATGATTCAAACATCTCCTTTTTAAAATATTTGTTTTCCTTAACTTGCAGGTAACAGACAACGGGGAACCACCATTGAAATCTTCTACCATTTTACGAATTCTATTTACTCCACCATTTTACCCACCTAGTGATTCAAACGATTCACCAAATCCTTTGATAATAAAACATTCAGTTCGACACAAATCATTAAACAATCATCCTGACTATACTAAAGGTCAATCTATATCAAATGAATTAGATTTCGACACACCAGTAGAAAATGAATTAACTGGAATCGGTGTATTACTTGGATTAGTAACAGCTATTGGTTTATTTGTCTGTTTTCTAATTCTTGTTATAATGATCTTTTTTTATCAAAGTCGAAGATTAAATGAGCATAGAAAACAATTAATTGAAAGAAGAAATCAAGCATATAATCAACATCAAGTAGTAGAACAAGCACATCAATCACAATTACAACAACGACAGAATCAACAAAATTCAGAATTGATTCAACTTTCAACTGTATCACCATCATTCAATACACAATCAACTCATTATATGCCACATTCAATTCTTCGTCATATTCCTGTAGAACAATTAAATAAATCTGATAAAACCATAACTGATTCATCTCGACAGTATTATTTACAAACATTCAATGAAATAATGCCAAATTCAAAAAATGAATTAATGACTAGTTTTACAACACTTTAAAGATGTGCATCCTTTTTTTATTTGATGTATGTATTTGTGTATGGTTCGGCTTCTTTAACCTCTTCTATTAGCTTCATTTGATCTCGTTAATTTTCTTTCTTTTTTTTAAAATTTACTGATTTGTACATTGAGAGAAACTTAACAACGATGATCAATTTGATAAATGAAGTTATACATTTGTTGTGAATTATAATTTATATTTAAAAAATAGATTATTTTGAAGTGATTTAGATGAATTATTTGTTTATCAATTGAATCCCGTGATTGGGATCGTGGATGAGATCTTCTGAAGAGTTTCAAAATAGGACGAAACGGTCGTCCAGTGCTTCCAGGTTTTTATTGGTGGTCTAACATCATTTGATTCGTTATCTCAATCAAAAAATTATTGATGATGATAATGATCACAATTTGTGAAAATTGCTGTTAATATGCACAGGGTCAGTCAAAGAGAATTCATGGAATAGAAATTAGTGGAGTCCAATTAGCAATAGTATAATCAGTAGTATTGTTAGTAGTATTAAATCGAAGCAAAATGATATAAAATCAGGAAATGAGAATTATAAAGCGTCATTACAATTTAAAATAAAATAAATATTAGCGATACATATACCTTTGGCAACAATAAATAATATCACGTCACTCAAGGTGGTCAAATAAATGTTATGACTCTTTTACTGATACTACTGAAACTACCAGTCTGTGACTCAGAGAACTAATCGTTTGACATGGTCTGATCATCCTTGACATTTTGCCAGTCTATTGTTGTGTTTTCTGTTATTGTATATCAGGGTAGTGAGAGGATATGTCAAATTCACTTCAGTAGAGTATCGTTCATAGCTACACCAATCAATTTAAAATCTCTAGTTAGTTAAACAGCAAGGAAACAATGCTCAGAATGTATAAGCAATCAAACACTAGTAACTTATGCATGATTTCTACATCCATAGACTATTGTAAATAATGCTTACTTACTTACTATCGTTTGTTACCCCACGTAGAAGAGCGTAGGCCGCTCACCAGTATTCTCCATCCGATTCTGCCTTCATTATCCCTTGCAGTTCTTTCCAATTTCTAGTCATCATTTTCATGTCTGCTTCCGATCCCCGACGCAGTGTGCTTTTTGGTCTTCCTCTTGTCCGTTTCCATTCACGATTCCAAGTTAGTGCTTGCTTTGTGATACAGTTTGATGATTTCCGAAATGTGTCATATCCGCTTACATAGTCTTTTCCTAGTTTCTTCCTCACCTGGAACCTGGTATTTTCTCTCTCACAGTAGGTTGTTGCTGACGGTATTCAGTCGACGGACATTCAGAATCTTGAGCAGACAATCGTTTATGAATACTTGCATTACTTTGATGATGGTTGTGGTAGTTCTCCACTTTTCAGCTCCGTACAATAGGACTGTCTTGATGCTCATACTGAAGATTCTGAATATGATGTTGGTTTGCAGACAGTTCTTTTGAGTTCCTTAGGTTCTTCAGTTGTGGAAATGCTGCCCTTGCTTTTGTAATCAGTGCATTAACATCAGCATCTGATCGTTCATGTTCATCAATGATTCTGACCAATTATGCGAAAGTTTCCACCTCTTTCAGAGTTTCTCCATCAAGTGTGATTGTGTTGGTTTTCTTTGTGTCGTATTTGAGGATGTATGTTGAGGTCTACTGATTCAGAGGCTTCTGCTACAATACTTGTCCTCACCTGTATTTGTTGATGTCTATGGGGTGAAAGGGTCAAATCATCTGCAAAGTTCAAATCATGTAGTTGCATCCAATCTGTCGATTGTATTCCGTGCTTCGCCTCAGATAAAGAGGTCTTCATAATCTAGCCAACCACCAGAAGAAAGAAAAAGAGTGAGAGTAAGCAACCTTTTCTTACACCAGTCATAACTTTGATCGCATCTGTCAGTTGTCGGTTGGACTCCAAGGGTCACGGCTTCTCACTAGAACTCTTGATGCTAGTCACTAGTGAGCACGTTGGTTCGCTTAAGATTGCAGATATCTGTTACTTACATATTCTGAACAGCGCTTATATGGTAGATAGGAAAAAATGATTGCGGTTGGATATTAATTCTGTAGCAATAAATTTACTGGTCTATCTATGAAATTAGTTAAATTAACAAATTGGATGAAAACAAAAGTATTGCATTGAAATTAAGATAACAATTTTTAGTTATTTACTTATATCGTACTAAAATTTCAGATCTTCATCAACATTCTTCATAATAACGTAAATTACCTTTTTTGCTAAACATTCCGATCACTAAGCAATACAATTTCCATAACTTTCATATTTAATTGAGACGTGAAAAATAGTCCTTTATTACTAATCAAATTCTGTCGATTAAGTTATAGTGTGGCCGCCAGTCCAAGTGTTTCATCGCTACGTAAATAGTTGGACGATACATCTCAGTCTGAGCATCGATTCGTCTAAGATTGCAGATACCCCTTACTTACGTATGCTGAACATTACAGTTTCCTGTCAACCATCTCTAATCACCTGATATAATTCAACTGTACAACACGAATATATTTTATATTCATTAGTAGAACCTTTAGGTGAAAATGCTCGTTTAAAGAGATTCTTTGACTATATATCATTGAGCATAAGAATCAGTTTTGCTATAATATCATTCAATGCAATAAAAGAAACAATGACATGATTCGAACCATGAAGGAGGTTAAGTTAGTTGTAAGCTAACTTGTCTAAATCTATTATTTAAGCAAACTATCTTCATTTCATTATGATATCAATTATAAAATCCTGATCAGAAATTCTTGAGTCTTGTAATCACACACTATTTCACATGAAATTTTAATGCATCAAGAGTTAAATTCTCTTTCCATGAGTTAAAATAAAAGTGTTATCAATGAACGACAAAAATCAATTACGTTATTATAATCACTTATATATCTGATCAATTATATCACGAAAATTAAAGTAAGCTAGATGTAAGTTGCATAGAAACAACGTGATATACTGACACTGGACCAAAGTATTGTGTATATTTAATTAAACTGAATCTGTCAATCACTTGAAAATAAAATATACAACTACTGGCGCCTTCAGAATATGATTACGTTATTATAGCGGGAAAAAAAATGTAACTTGATATTAAAAACATTTATTTTTTTTATTATTAGACCTTCATCAATGTAAACAAAAGTTATTTAAACTATTCTGAATTGTAAAGCATTTAAACAAACAGAGTTACTTGGTAAAATAGAAAAATCATACTATAATATTTAATTTGCAAAATGTTCAATAATTGTCTCGAACTTCATTGTTCTTGCATTTCCGTACTAATTGCTTTCTATTCCTGCTCTTCCTTTCTTGATCTTCCTCATCTTCTGCTGCCAGACATCACATTCCTGACTCGGGTCATATACTACTTATATCAATATAAGTAGCGCGCACCACAAGTAAGTAAGTAAACAGTTTTATAGACAATGAATCATTTAACTATATTTGTATTAATCATAAAAAGATAGTAATTAACTGTACATATGTAGCAATTATCCTACAACCAATTTCGATTATAGTTAAATTTGGTTAAGCACTTTTATTAACTTACTATGCTTACAAAAGAAGTGCATCTCATCGTTATCGTTACCTTGGCCTTGAGTATTTTGATTGTCCAATTATTATTATTATTATTATTATTATTATTATTATTATTATTATTATTACTGCATTCTCCCCTTTACTTATATCTTATATTCTCATTGTTTTATTCGTGAATACTTACTTAACAGACAATGTTATTTGAACAGTAAGAATTCGCATATTTCTTTGATCATGATCATGATCATGATCATTAGATTACATGACAGACTCTAGCTAAAATGTTGATCGCTTAAATGTCACTCGATGTTTCATTCTCCTTCCCATATATATATATATATATATATATATATATATATATATATATATATGCAACGGTATTAAAAATCATTACATGTAACGTTACTAACGTGAGTTTGTTTTCCTTATTGCAGGGCAGCAAAGAGTAAACATACTGAAAGAAGAGGAACAAGCCCTACGTTAGCTGAACTTTCAGAAAAATGTATAAAACTATTTCGTGATCAGTTTCGCTTTTTGTACTCGAACCGCGTCTTTCAATTTTCAAAAATGCATCTGTTGGGCCAGTACGCCGCGTTCTTACTTCCGAGGCATTTACCGGTCCTGACTGTTGTGCTGTTGTTTCAGATCGCTACTGCTCCTGCTAATATAACGAGCTACATATATACTCAAATCCCCTTGTTAGCTTTTGCGGCGAGACTATAATTTATGGACGAACCAATCAGATTTAGGATAACAGATTTTGGATTTTGACGCGAAATTCATTCACTTATCTGCGTAAATAGCCTTTTGGCGTTATAACTGATGTCAGTTCACGGTGAAAACTATAAACCTAATTCCTAACCCTAACTACCAACTGTAAATCATAAATCGAATTCCTCACACTGGTTTATAACCCACATTTAGCCCCAGTAAGTATATGGGCATTACCAAGGTCACTTTAGCATCGCTTAAAGGTAGTCAATAAATTTTAGTCTGACCGCTTTCGCTTTGTTTTGCTGCATTCTTATGCAATTTGACTACATATACATATTTGCCTGTCTGCTTCAAATTCACTTGATGTGCTTATAGCTTTGTGATCTGTGCTATTCGCTAATAAACTTTAGTCGCCACTTCTTATTGCCTTATGATTTCAAACATCGTTAAAATTTATATAATATTGATTACAAGGATAATTGATTAACACGAAGCAAAACCACTACATATATGTACAGCATAAATACAGTATACTTCATATAGCACGTTCTCGTTCATCATTTACACAACTGACGCGTGCCTATCTAAAATTATTAGAAATACACTTATTGACACGAATAATAATCTGTTTTTTTTATCATTTCAACTAGTGTCAACAACACTTCTGTCAAAAGAATATTCAGTTTGCAATATTTGCTCAAACTATCATTAGATAAACTTTCCATAAACATAATGAATAATATGAATAATTGTTCTGGTATCTATGTCATTTTAATCAATACATAATTTGAGATGGCTTTATGAAGATTGTGTATACTTCATAGATGAATTTAGTAAAGAACTAAGGTTAAGTAATGATCTATTTTATTTTGAAGAATACAAAATAACTGGTATA